CTTGGGAGGAATTGCTGCAAAACTGCAGTAATGGAAATCTGAGATGTAGTTACTGGCCAAAGGCCAGCAGAGACATTGGTCAGTTGGATGTGCTGCTTCCCTCCCAGCTGCAAAAGAGTTTCAGCAAGGGAAAACAAAATTAAATGTGCCATAATGATTGGAAAAAATGAAAATGTTACCACATTGCAGCAAAAGGCATAAGACACTGAGGTGCTTCTGAAGAGCTATTGAAAACACAGCACTTCCATGTCCTTGCTTCCCATCACTTACTGATGCACAATTCAGAAGGTGACCCCTAATCTAGGGTGTTCCCACAGCTGGCACTTCATGCTACTTTAGCTCAGAATGGAGCAGTAAATATCCAGAAGAAAGAAAACCCCAGCATAAAAGTCCCTCACCTATCCTTCCCTGCAATTAATTGTGATGCAAATACTAATTTTCTTTTACTAATTCATCAAGAAAACCCTTGAATCTGAAAGTTCTGAATGGATTTTCAAGAAATTAAATTGCCTCACCATGGTGTAACTCACTATTCCACTTCTAACCTGCTCTTAAAGCAAAGAGAGAATGAAAAAACAATCCTTGTAATCAATGTCTGCAGAAATGTTCACTTGTCCCATGTGCCTGGTGATGTTTTGTTAAAAAATCATACAATTAGGAGCCTAGAAGATGTAGAAAAATGCATTTTGAGCTTTCTCACAATTTTCATGGTATATCCAACTCTCTCTACATGCTATTAGCAGGTTTTTCCAGTGCATGCTATTAACCCAGTTGACTTCTTTCTGGTATCTGATATATAAATCTGCATGTAGCAATACAGCAGAATAATTTGCTATGTGGTGCTCCTGTGATAAGGGTAAGAGGATTTTTTTAATCATCATTACGGATGGTAATAATTCCTAGAGTGATACAGAGATATTGATCCACTGATCTAAAAAAAGCATTTTACAAAGGCAGAAGAGCATCTCTACCCTTATTTTAAGCAACAGGATAACAGAGATGATGAGCGACCAACTCACCTGTGGTCAATACAGCACATCAGTGGCACAGCTACACAGCTACAAATCAAACCTGGGGATTTCTGGCTATATTTGCACACTCCAGCTCTCAGTGCCTGGCTGTCTGTGTTGGCATCTGTAGTCATGTAGACATTGCATAGTGCTGGGAGTCAGGTGGTCTGCAAGTTTCCTTAAGCCGTTTACAATAAGTGAGTTAAAATCTTAATCATCTGAGGCAGTTCACTTCTACTTTTTCATGATAATGAGGCTTAGCACATGATATCACAATCATGAATTTTTGTAAAGCATATTTATCTCTTCAGAAAAAGTGCTGGATTAAACAACCCGGCAGGCTGAATCCTTCTCTTGGAATAATGAATACTGTAGAGGAAGAGGCAAGCTTCTTTAGATAGTCCCACGAACCCTGCTCAAGAGGCGGCCAGCCTCTGTGGCTGTTGGGTCCCTGGGTTCTTTATCTCTACAGCCAACAGGGTATTTTTACTTTTTAATACCTTTCACAGCTAGGAATTACTTGCTGCCAGCCAGCTAATTTCACAGGGACTATCCCAGAGCCTTTGGAAGGTAATGCCTTATGGTTGCTGCCTACTCTTGTAGCTGATTGAAATATAGCAAATTACAGGTATAAATAATGTTTATTTCTTAGATGCAGGAGTGAGTAACAATGGGGGAAAATGTGCATCAAGCAAAAAAAAAAAAAATAAATCTCAGTTTCTTTAAAATACTGCTCCACCACTGGAGTGCTGTATCATTACTTTGGTCTCATTTTAGAGCTGAGTTTCAAACTGCTGACAATAGGAATTTGGAGTAGAAAAGGTGATGGTCCATTATCAGTAGTGACAGCAATGGGTGTGACTTTGTTAAAGTTCTGTCAACTTTGGTTAGGAACCAAGTTCTGCCCTCTTGTTTAGGAACTACAATGAGCTCCGTCTCTCTCCCCTTCTCCATCACTTATATCACACTCATCACTAAGTGTTACATTTTCCCTTGATGCCACAGGATAGGATTTCTCCTTGCTACTGGAGCCCTAAATCCAGACTTATGGGTTGACAGCTGACTGTTTACCCTCCCAGTGGTAACATTGCTGATGTAGTGCAGCCATGGGCTAAAATAAAAGTCAAACAAAACCTTTTTAGTCTTTACTAAGCAAAAAAACTCAAACCCAAACCCAGCCTAAACCAAAACTGTTCTACTGAGCTGTGTAAGGAGTTACTCCTTGCAACTATATGCTGGTAATGCAGATTATTTGCCTGAACTCTTTAAGAAAGCTTGAAAGCTGGCATAAATACCAAGGAAGATACAGTTCAAGCTTTTTTCATCTGAGATACCATGAGGTGTACTTGTTATGCAATTGAAAAGAGATACCAAACAGAGTTTACTGGACCACATTTCCATCTCACTGCTGCGAGCACTGAACTGAGCTCCTGAAAGTTCTGGCATGGCAAGGTCAGTGTTTTCCTCAGACAGTGACTATTTTTCATTCACCCCTCTGTGTCTAGGAGGGAAGCACATCTGGATGGGTGATGAGAAAATAAATTATGTTTGTGGCAAAGGGAATTAACATCTTGGAAATGGTAACATGAATTAAAACTCATTAAGGATTTAGAACTCTTTACAAAGATTTAATGGTGTAAATTCTCCCTCCTGAAGCAGTTTTTCACCTTGTGCTTTTTCAGTCAAGCTCCCTCCTCTGCAGCTGTCCCTCAGCACTTTTCATTTCAACTGCAATACCAACCATTTTTACAACACTTTGCCTTCTCTCATGGAGTGGTGGTTTTGTGAAGCTGATAAAAATCTGCTTGAAAACCTGGTTGGCGCAGCTGAACCCATTTTGAAGTGTGAACATGGGTGTGTAGAAAGCAATTCGAGTTTAACAAGGCATGAGGCATGAGGGCATGATAGAATATCAGTCGTGATTGTGACCGAAATGAACCCGAGCGGCACAGAGGATGCAGCTCTGCTGTGGTTACTGGTGTGTGACCTACCTGGGCTGAGATCTTCAGTCTCCAGCAGGAGAGAACAGCACATTAACTGTACAGCTGTGCTGGCCAGCACACAACACTGCCATGCCTGATACTTTGGAGACGTGGCTTAGGAATTTCAGCTCCTGATTGTTGTGAGATTGCTGTTCACAGCAGAACAAAACTACCCCACCAACCTCACTTACTCTGTTGGATTTCATAATTAGCTTTTCTATGCTCCTACTATACTGAGTCTTTTGAATTAAAGCAAGTATGCAGTGGGATTTTTATGGATCCCAGGAAAGATCCATTTCTTTGTTGGGTGATGCTGACAAGTCAATTACATTTTTTTGGGGGCTCAAAACATCTGATGTGCAGATCTTGTTATTTCAGCAGTTAATTAGCTCCTTTCCCACTTGTGTCTTCCATCATCCCTTCCTTGTGCTGCTCACACAATGAAATCAGTGAAAAATCAGAAATACTTATTTTGCCTCAGTGTTGGGTCTAGAAAGATAATGGCAACACTTGACTCCATCTGTAAACATTCCTCATTGAGCTGGAACCAACTTTAGACCTGTGCCCTAATCTTCCCCAAGGCAAAAGCCATGGTCATGCGGCTCTCCTTGCCTGAACTGCTGCATCCCAGCCCCAAAAATTTGGGGATCACAAAGCATGAATGTAAGTGGATAATTTTCTTGCAGCTCCCTATTTATTGTAAGAGTGGCTTTTCAACAAGTCCTTATTGTTCAGAAGTAGTGCAGTATGTGCTTTCATGCAGTGCTATGGTATATAGGAATGCCTGCACTTCCTTTGCTGAAATTTATAGGTGTTTTATAGAAACTGGAAACCCCCATGCACAAATTATTGCACAAAATTCTGTGGGTCCTAATGCCTACTAGAAATAAGTAGATCCAAAAGTAAAGAAACAAAATCTAAATATATACCTATATCTATATGCAAAGTGGGTGCTATTACCTTTTTCTGTGCCTTTGGAAAATGTAATAAAATGCATAAACTGTGTACTTTCTATGTATTTGTTTTTCCTATAGATGTGATGTTTTTCACAGCTCCATAATTAAAATTGCTTTACTCCCTGTGCCATTAAATGGCTGTGGCAGGTACAACAGCATAATCCTGCACTGAGAGATGGGACTATCCCTATTTCCTTTTCTACTCAGCAACCCCCCTGGCACTGATGTTTTGAGAAGGTTCATGCTCTGAGAATAAATTCAGGTCCATATACCATGGAGTTAATATGCAGTCTGTGTCATTAATATACATTTATCTTTCTTTTCAATAGATTTCAGAAGGCTTTTCCATAAAAGGTACTTTTGCACTCAAAAGGGATCACTGGCTATTGAAATCTTTGCAGCATTTGATTTCAAAGTTCAGGTTGGTCACTTGACCACTCTTGATGGTGACGCTTGACACCTCTGCCCTGGTTTTTGGGTTGTGGTAGAGGCGCAAGATTTAAAAACTCTCTTTACAAACATTTGTCCAGGCAAAGCTCTCAGGTCCAAGGTAACCTCTTCGTTTCTCACTTACAGCAGACCTATGTTTTGCATAGAGTTACAGAAAACACAGGAATGGAGGAGATAGGTCTACAACAAGGGCCAGTTCCCATCACCCTTCATGCCCTCAAGCAGTCATTTATAGTCCTATACTTTTTTTTTTTTTTTTTCCTTTGGCCTTGTGCTACAAAGCAGAAATAGGGTCAGGGGAGCAACTTTGATTTTGTGAGAGCAGAAAACTGAGGGTGTTTTCTCAGGGTGCAAAGGAACCTTTCCAGCTGACAAACAGGGCGATAACACAAGTTAATATGTTGGCACCGAGACCTTTCTGACACTGGAAATATGAGGTGATAATTTCAGTCACTGTGAAAAGTTCATGTGGATACCTTCATCACGTGGGACGTATTACAGAGAAACCTCTCGCTGCAGACAGTAGCTCTGCCTACCTCGGCTGTGACATAAAACTCCCAATTAGCACTTAAGGAAAGAGACTTTACAGGCTGCACACTCACCTCGGCTCAGCCCATCTGGTCCCCGAAGGATTCGGCATTCTTCTATCTGGCCGAACGGAGAAAACATCACCCTGATATCATTCTCATTACACTTCTTCGAAACCATTCCTATGAACAATTTTCTGTCTTCCACAGCTAGAAGATAAAAATAATGAATGAGCAAAGGCCATTTCATCTTTTTGCTGTGATCAATGCTTCATTACCACATCAAACCAAGCTCCAGTCATGTGAGTCTGGCTCTGTGACTGAAGACAAGTCCTAAGGCAAACAGTTTATACTTACAACCTCCCTTCCCCCCTCCTTTCCCCCCCAAATATCACGTTTTTCTCTTTCTTTCCTTTTTCTAATGGTGCTTGCTGTTTATATAACATATTAATTGGCTGTCTTAGTCACTCTGCATACACCTCTCCTCCACGTCTTCTAAAAGGAAGGTATCCTCCATTAGAGACACTTTTAAAGATATCTTTGCATAGATTCTAATTCAGATAAATTCCCTCATCCCCCTCATGTGTGAAAGAAATCATGATGGGGTGAGGGTAAAGAAGGGATTGTGCACGTAATGATACAAGCTAATGAAAAATATTCCTGAGAAATGTTTTGCAAGCAATTCCTATCTGAGCTTTCAATTTCAGCCAGCTCAATGCACAGCACTGGAAAAGGCAGATGGGCAATGACTTCTCTGGAAAAAGAATGCATTAAATTTTTCTGCTGGATTTTTTTTAGTGCCACAGCCCTCTGTCCTTCAGGAGGTCACAAGACATATTTCTGGACATCACCTGAACACCCTTTGATGCATAATGATGTTGAGTTTGCAAAAAAAACACCATCAAAAACGTGCTTTACCTGAATTATTGGTAGAATATTTCCTGCCTGCACTGTCACCAACACCAGCACAAGCTGGACTGCTGAAGCAGGATGCACACAGTCCTATTAATCAAACTCAAATTTATAGTTCTAAAGCAGGGGACTCTTGTCAAAAATGAAAGAGGTCATCAAAACTTAATTCACTCTGGAAAAACTTCCAAATGTTAATGCACCCACCCATCTATATTAAACCAAAAATCTAAGTGCTTATTATACAGTACATACACCAGTGCTTTCTTCTTCTCTGGAAATTGCATGTAAATCCAATTCCCTGTTAATGAGCAGACTGTCAGGGTTTGTGGGGAAGCAAAGAGGGAAGGAAAGCTTTACTCCAGAGATTCTGCAGTGCACTTACTTATTTCTATTATTGTGCAAATTATTTTTGTAATGAAGTATTTTCATTTCTGAGCTTACAAAAGAAAACCCAAAAAACTGAATTCTCCCTTGCTCTCTAACTCTGTCTTCTGTATTAGTACAAGTCTGCCATATGGAAAAAATTGCAGCTGAGGAAGAAGGAACCGTGTCCATTTTTTCTAGGATTTTATTTCTGTTATACTTCAACATTTTCAGTGCATTTAATAATTTCAAGAATAACAAGAAGAGGTTCATGTTTATTGATCATGAGAGGCGTTTGAAGTAATTTTCTCCTTAAATCGCTGACTTTAAAAAGTATTTGTAGCTTTTATAAAAGCAAGCACCAAACCCATGCATTTTTCAGAACCCAAAACAGAGACCAGCCCCAACAATCCCAGCTTCTCACTCTACAAGCTTGCAAGAAAATTGGTGTGAATTTAACACCCAGGGGAAGATGTTTTCTTCAGTAGAGATTCCTCAAGACTGAACATTTTCATTCACACTTTATATTGAGGTTCCACACACAGGTGAACCCTCCAGAAAGGGTTAAGAAATGATGAATGCATGGGATGAGCCAGTTATATACAGATCAGGAGCTGAATATGTGTGATTGCAAATAAGACCTGCAAGTTGGGATATTTTTATTTATATATATAAATATATATGTCTCATTATGAAGCTTTACATCTGATTCATAATATATAGCTGACCTTGATGTTGCTAAATATTATTTTAAGGGTGGGAAGGCTGAATTCCCTTGCTCACAGCTATAAGAGGAGTACAGGCAGCCACTTCTGCTGGTGGAAGGATGCCTGTAAGCTGACTGCAGACAATTCCTATATTGCCTTGAGCAATCTCTTTGAGGAAGTTCCCTGGCCAGCCTGTCCCCTCAACAACAGCCACAGATATGGCCATAATGCAGGAAAGGTTGTGAGACAAGGGATCCAGCTGGGCTGCCAGGCCTGGATTTCTCCACACCACGGACTGAGGTCAGGCTGGGTGAAGCCTTGGTGCCAAGCACATTTCAAAGCATTGCCTTCTGCTCTGTGTCATGAACCTTGTATTTTGTGTCTCTGTGTCAGCTAGTACCAACCAGTTTAAATTTGATCTTAGGCTGGAAATACAGTGTGTGCAGGTCTACTTAAAGGGTGGCTAAGTTCCAACTCTCTTTTAAAAATAGCTGCTGGCTAAGCTGGACAAATGCCTGCCACAGCATCCCAAAAGAGGATGCTTGGGTCCTGCTTTGGTGCCAGGACAAAGCCTCAAACCAAGGAGATTCACGTGGAGACTCAAAAGAAATAAGATGTGAACAGAAGGCTTTGTTTTAATTTTCCAAAGAGTAGCAGGTGACAAACTCCCCATCGGCCTCCTTCAGTTTTGGTAGTAAACCTATAAATATGCCATTTAACTAACATGATTTGCAGGTTTGCAGCTTGAGGGTGATTTTATAGTAAATTAAACATCTAGCTCCTGTGTACTGTACATCTTAAAAATGCAGATTTCATGAAGAATGCTTGGAGTACAGAAAACATATTGATATGATGACGTGCTCTGCATTCAGTGCCATTAGTCAGTGCTGATCAGTGTTGAAGCTTAAGAAAATTGCTATTCTTTTTCTGGCTAGAGGCCCAGCATAAAAAAACATTTAAAGTGACAATTGTTAAGATCAAAATGACATGTTTTCACTCCATGTGATAGAACATCTGATATTATTAGGCTGAAAGAGTTTTTCCCACACGGAGAAGGGAGTACTTTTCCACCTCGATAAGACTGATTTTTAAGAGTTATTTCTGCATTTTTGGTCAGCCATTTCTTTCTTTCTAAAATGAATTCTTACCAGCCACACAGGCAAGGCTTGAGAATCAGACAACAGAGTGCAAGAAAGTGTGGGTCAAATGTTTTTAGCGGTTAGCAAACATCCCTCTGGATCTGCCAAACCTGTGGATTTTCCTGTGTGTGTTGGATTTCTGTTATGGACTGTAAAATGGGGATTAAACACACATGACCCAGCAAAGCACTGAGGCTGGGACAGGTGCTGCTGCTTAGGGAAAGGATGGAAGCCTAAATCTGGCCTAACTTCAGTGACCTACAGGTTTGGTCTCAGCTCAGCTGGTTGTTGGCAATGCCAAGAGATCAGCTCCTTCAAAGAGTGACAGATCTCACCTCTCCCAGCCAGGTGGCATGGCCTTTGTCATGGGAGTCTCTCCCTTGCTAATGGTTACAGAGTAGAGAGTAGATTACAGATTTTTTTACACTGTCTGAATGGATTGATGGAGGCTGTTACCTTCCAGCCAACTCCCAGATCTTAGGCATCATGACAACATCCAGATGTCCTGAGCTCCAGCTGCAGGGACATCAGGAGTGAATGAGCTTTGAGGGGCTGGGCAAAGCCTGGGAGCTGAGAGTGCTTTGGGCAGTGACAGCAGGCAAAGAAAAAGGGGGAAGGATAACAATGTGCAAGGGCCAGCACATGTACACATATCTGAAAAGCATTTCACTGTTGGTTGATAACTCTTTCTCCCACCCTTGGGGTAGGTTTCAACAATTCAAAATCCAGAAAAATCAAAACTTTTTTAGCATGTGTTTGACATCATTATTTCTGAACCTCGCTTATGGGCTTAGTTGAACTTTCTGACTATTTTACACCACTCTGGGGGAATGAAGGAGATACAACAGTTTGGAAGCAGCAGGTAGGTTTGGGTGGCTGAGTGCCCCTCCTTGATGGAGCAGAAGCAGCCAGAAGGTCACAGTAAACAAGGCCTGAAGTTCTGTTTATAGGAAGGAAAGTGTGAAACTGCACAGTTTCTTGATTAACACATTATGGGGTTCACCTTTAATCCATCCCAACACATTACAAATGCAGGTTGGCTGTGCTGCCAGGGCAGTTTGAGTGACACATCCAGTGCTAATCCTGCTGGATTTGGGGTGGGGTTTGCCAGAATGCAGGAGCACTGCATGAAGAGATACAGGTACCTATTTTAAAATAAGTGGAGTTGCTCTTGTAACCCTGTCAAGGCAAGCACTGCTATCACTAGCACATGTGCCAGGGCATCATGTTTGAACCCAGAACTCTGCTTTAGCCATCAAAGGTTATCTGAGATGAAATCTGTCTCTGCTGGGAGGGGAACTTTTCAAACTGAGCCTCCTGTCTTCTGACAGCACTACACCCAGCTTGCAGAATAACATCCTGAAGCATCTAATTTTTTAGCTTTACTCAATTTGTTTCAGTAATGAGCATTTCTTGCAGGCTGTATTAGATTGCTTGTGCTAACCCAGGAGGATAAAGGAGTAGAGATTATATTCTGAATGCTACAAAAGAATTAAACCCTGTAATAATTGTGAGAACTCTCCCTGAAGATTCAACATAACTTTTTTTTTTTCACTCCTCTAAACCCCCAAAATTTTGAAAGATCAAAATTATAACCCTTTATTGTACATTTCTGAGGAGTGATCTTCAGATAAAGAATGAATTTTCTCCCCAGAAGATGCCTTGTCTTTTGAGCAACTAGATAAGTAGTTAATTATGTATAAATGGCGTGGAGGATTTTTTTTTTTTTTTGGTTTGGTTTTGGTTTTTTACTCCCATATAGAAGGGAAAAGGTGAAATCAGATTTTTTATCCCTAGCTGTAAGCCTGTGAAAACCCCTTGCATATAATCTGTCAAAGTCACACCTGAATCTGGAGCTGCCTGCATTAATTATCAACTTTTCTATGTGTTAGTGCTAACATATGGCATCTAATTACTACCTCCAATTCAGCAAAGTTGTGCCATTTAGAATTTAAAAATTATTTTTTAAAATTTCCATTAATGAAATCAATAAAAATAAATTATAAGATTACTCAGCTACCCTCCTCCCTACTTTATTTTTTTTAATAGCGAATTCTGTCATTTTCCCTGAAGCAGTGATGCTTTGATCCATTTCAGAGCATACTGTCTGCAGGATATGCGCCTGAAAGTATTGACTGTGTTCAAATCCAGATCCAAGACATTTAAGCATTTAAAAATTGTAGGATGTTAACGGCCACAGACAACTTAAAGTCAAACAGGTGTTTGTAAGTTTTTCAACATCAGACTGGAGGAACCTCCTTTGTTTGAAGAAGGGAAAATGTCCTTAAAAGGATAAATACTGTGAGTGGTAAAGCTAGTAATGGTGGAGATTTCAAAGTTGAAAACATGATTTTTTGTCAGAAAATCCTTAACCAAAACTTTCTAGACAGGTTAAAACAACCTGCACAAAGGTGATCAGACCAGGACACACTGCAAGATTCATAATCTGCAAATCTTCAAGAGTTGTTACAATTTTCAACAATAAGAAGCTTTTCAGAATCCCCCTGGGTAGTCAAATTAATTAAATTTGAAGGCAAGTCTTGCCCCATCAACTCTAGATGCTAAAAGCTTGGTGGAAGAGATCAAGATTTGCTTTATCTGCATGAGCAGAGAAATTACTTAGACACATTGTAGGCAAGGAAGGAACCACTGGAACAGGTTGCCCAGCAGAGCTGTGGATGTCCCAGCCCTGGAAGTGTTCACAGCCAGGCTGGATGGGGCTCTGAGCAACCTGGTCCAGGTGTGCTGGAGGTGTCCCTTCCATACCCATCTCCCAGCGTCCATGAAGTGAGCTTGGCCTCTGGTATCAAGGGACAGATTCCTCAGGCGATGCAGACATCTAAGGGCAGGAACAGTGATGCAAAAGAAGGAGCATTTAATCCCAGGAGTCTCTGGCTTGGATGCTCATTCAAAGCTTTTTCACAAGGGACTCAATATGGGGAGGGGGCATTTAATCACATAGCAAATATTTTTCTTTGAAAACTTCTGTAAATTGAATGAGAGGACATGTCTTTCCTCCCTATGGAACTTGAATAGGTCTATCAATCCTTCACAGACATGTACAAGCTCAGAAGAATTGTAGAGTGCTCAACTTATTCTACACATATTTCCATAAGAATATTGCTTTAGCCTCTTTGCAAACTGAGAAACACACCTTTACCCATAAAATCCATTGGGATCCTCCCACGACTCAGAAATCAAAGAGACTCGAGTATTCCTCAAAAGCTCAACTACCATGGATCGTGAAAACCAAGATGCCTTGGCATGTCTTTTTTCTTTTCCCCTTTGAACTTACCAATCTGGTTGAAGAGGTACAGTTTACAGTTTGCTGTTGGCATGGATAATATACCTCCTCAGATGGATAGCCTGGAGCATATGGGAAACATGTGCCAAACAAACCTCCACATCCCCCACGCTGTTGCTTTTTCTTTCTTGATCTCCAAGCTGCTGGCAAACTGTCACCCACTCCATGAACCCCATGCCTATACCCTGCCTTTCAGAGGAGCTGTACCATTATTACCATCATCATGGTATTAGTTTGCCTTCTGTTTCTCCAGTTGATTAAAAAAGAAAAAAAAAGTTCACCATCCCTTGAACATGCCTATCAGAAGTTCCCACACCCTTCAGGAATTGAAATTTTAAAAGGTGTTTAATTTGACAGTTGGAACCCCTGAACTGACAATTTGTTTTTTCCCCAAAAAATACAAAGAAAGGCAAGAGAAAAAAAAAAAAGGTGAAAAAACACAATCCCTTGTGATTTTTATGCTTGGAATAGATGCCAGAAAATAAGAGAGTATTCCCACAGTGCAGACAGGAGTTTCATGCAGATAACCCCAGACTAACAGCAGCAGCCAGGAGCTAACCTACCCTGCTTTCCAAGCAGGCACTACTTGCAGAGAAGGACAGAATTTGCACAATTCCCCACAGTGTTTTTCCAATATGTTCAATCTCCTTTAGAAAGAAACACTTCAGGCAATGAACAAGTAACTCACTGGGAGTCAATTTTGGCCCATTGCCTCTTATTTTTCTAATTTGCCAAGGAAATTGAGGTGAAATTTGTCTTTGAAAGAAGAACCCATAGAGGCCATACTTAGTCCAGAGGGTTCAGGCCAGCATTTCTGTGCCTAAGGGATAATTGTGCCCACTGCTAGCAGTAAATACTAGTGCCTGGAGTCTGGATTCCAACAGTAATGTTCTCCTTGACTGCAGTGGGGCCTGAAAAGTTCAGTTCTCCTGCCCACCCAGGTGCCTTAACCTCTATTCTGAGCACTCAAAGACAGCAAGAAATCACTGCAAAAAAATCTTTGGGAAAATGTTCTTCACCCACAGGGAGGCTGGGCACTGGAAGAGGCTTCCCAGAGCAATGGTCACAGTGCCAGACTGACAGAGGTCAAGGAGCATTTCGAAAACGCTCTTAAGCACATGTTGGGATTTTTGGAATTGTCCTGTGCAGGGCCAGGAATTAGACTTTGGGAATCCTCATGGATGGATATCTATCATTTCCAACTCAGAATATTCAATGATTCTATGATTCCAACCTGAGAGAGAGAACACCCCCTCCCATACAAATGGGTGGTGGCTCATATTTCCTGTGCTTATGGCCACTATGTTTTGGAAAGTTGTCATAACGGGAAACCTAGCATAATGTGAAGTTTTAATTTTCTTCCAAACTTCATAATCCTTGGAGAAGCCTGAAAAAGGGATGCACTACAATTAGCAAAAAAAGAAGCCTTAAAAAAGCCTTGCGGAGAGATTTAGAGCCCAATCATAATTTACATTTGCAGGTATGTAGATCTCTAAGTGCACGGCTTCTGCCCTGATTACTAATTAATGAGGTGCAAAGATGCCTGTTGGAGGAACCAGCTCTGATTATGTGGGCCTTAAGGGAAAATGAAGCTCTTGCAATCTAAGAAGGCAGATGATATCTTTAACATATATTTTAGAAAATTACAGGAACAAATCAAGGGGCAAAATATACACGTATATATTTTTAAAGAATCACACGCTGCCAAGTTGCACTACCATTCGATTATCTTATTTCCCTGAATATATAAACCTGGCATGTTTAATAGATTTAGCTTGCCATCTATTTTGCATGTCATATACATCCACTTAGGCAGTACCCTAGTATTCCAAATGGATATTACTGTCTTTATAGCATTCATTTTTCAATCGTTTTGAGGAATAAGTATACAGAGAGCTCCGAAGTGGGCTTCCCAGCTCATAATGAAGCATATGATTAAAATCTAAATTTGGCTCTGATTCCGAATGGCATCATTCTGTAAAAAGGTACTTTTGGCAAATGTTTAAGGCTGATCATGTACTTACATAATTTGTTAACACAGGTATGCCTTTTTGTTTCTTTTATTTTAAATTTTCAGCATCAACATTTTATCTCCATCTTATCAATCTCAGGTGCTCCCACATTTCCTCACTGTTAGGAGAACCCAAGGGAAGGATGTATGTAGTGAGGTAGGTCATGACATACAGCAGGTACAAGAAAGACCCTTTTTTGAGGACATTTACTTCCTTGTCTAAAGCAGAAGATAAAAGGGAGTTCAGAGCTGCTCGACATCTTCCTGGCATGTCAGTTGTAGGGAAAATGCCTATTATTTTCACCACAAAAGGATTAAAGCAAAATCTCTCACAATGTTGTGCTTACTTTAATTTAGAGAAAGACACAATTAAGTAAAAATAAATTGAACACATACCATTTGACTTTTCACTATCTGCAGGTTTCATCTGAATAGGATGATGCATCTAAAAACAAAAATGAAAGAGAGTAAGGCAGGTTGGCTAGTCATAAAAAATCAAGAGTGATGTTTTTAGTGAAGGGCTAAAAAGAGACACAATTTAATATTAAACATGTTGAAATTATATAAATTCAGAATATCACTGTATATTATAGGCTTATAAAAAAAATAAAATGGCGAAGGAGTATTTTATAATGAGGAAGTTTAAAAAAAATAAAATATCATTGGGCCCATTGGACTCATATAAATCTTTAATTTGCTGTATCTAGTTTCAGAAGACCTCTAAAGTTACAGCCCTCATTAGTTTATGGCATGCTTGGTTTCTGTTTTACCAACTTTTTTTTCCTTGAGCTCAACCACTGCCAAAACCAAGATGTAATTTTCAAGTAATTTAAGAACTAGCAAGCATTTCAAATGTACTCAGAGGAGTTGAGTTTGACAAATGAACTTTGCTTGTAATTAAAAATCTCTGCTGATTCTTTTAGGACTGAAGAAGAAGAGAACTTGATTCCTAAAACAGCTTCATATAATTGTTTAGTATCTCATATTTTTGTTTTAGAATCCATTACACATTCATTCATAAAGCTTCCACCACAACACATAACAATTCTGGCTTCCATAAAATTCCAAATCCTTTTTCCTTTTGAACCTCTTCCTCCATTCATGTCCCTGTTACTGCAGTGTTCTGTGCTGAACATCCCACCTTGGCACACTCAGGCTGGTGTGTCCTCAGCTTTTTCTACTAAATGATACTGCTCCCACACTGAATTGTTGATAGCTCCAATAAAATTTCTACAAATGGTGGGTTTGTTCTTTCAGGAATAATAACACCACAGCAGTTGAGCTCCCTCACAATCAGAGTTTTCCGCAGGAAATTGGTGATAGCCAGCCCTGTGGCCACTGTGGTGTGTTCAGGGAAATTTTATTATAGCTTCTCAAAAGCCTCCAGAACTGACCTCACACTGAGATTCAATGTGGGAGATGTTTAAGCTTGCAAAAAAACCCCCATTTTAATTTTCTTTCTTGGGCTCTGCGTAGTTACTGGGATTTGACTGCACAAACCTTCTGGCAGCAGCAGGGCCACTGCCTTTTCTCTCCTGAGCAATTCCTTACCAATTCACATGAACAGGTGAAAAAATGTATGCTTTTTCTACTTTTGTATCATTTTTCAGTGCAGCACAGCTGTGTATTGCCTGAAAATGTCAGAGGCAATTCCATTTTTTTAATAAAAGATTGTTATGACAAACTCTGGGAAACAAAAACAGCTGAGCAGGAGAGAACATCCATGCCCTCATATCAAATATGCTTTCAAAGCTGCACAGAAACCTACATCTGCATTGCTTTTGGTGAAGTAACTTAACCACCAGGGAAAAAGTTGCTGGATTCTTCAGAAAATATAAAATATTGCTGTGAATGTTTCTGTTAGATTTACTCAAAGTCCAGAATGCTCCCCGGCCTTGCAAATCAATGTATTCCCTGTGCTGCTCGCACAACTCCCCAGTGTGTCCTAGGCAAAGGCAAAGCCACAAGGTAGATGCAGTTGTAGGGATGTATAAATTTTCTTCAGTTTTAACAATTCTGCTCTCTTTGAATCATTTGTTTCCTAAATGTACTTTAATAGCTCAGCACTTGGTCGCTACCACTGTTATTAGATCAGTTTTATAGGAAAAAAAAGGATCTTCTGTCATTCTCTGTCTTCTTTAGTGCTTTGGATTTTTCCTGACATCAACAATACACTGGGCACTGCAGGAGACTTAAAATTTGTGGGAATGTGAGGCAGCATGTCCATTCAGCAAGCAAAAACAGAAAGAAGAAAAAAGGCGTAAGTTGCTCCACAAGGCCATTGCTGTTACTGATGTCTCTGAGGAGCAATGGAGTGGTGAGACAACAGAGGAAAGAAAGGCAAGTATTGAAAATTCAGGAATATGCAGGATAAAAGAGAAATACCCATCCCAATTTCAGGCCTTTTGTAAACAGAGAATCAATCTATTGCTCTTCACAGATGTGTTTATGTGCCCCTAAGAGGAGATACTTTGAATAAAGGCTATTCTAACAACATTAAAAACCTCTCACTTTTTAAACTGCCCAAACCAGAGAAGCCAACTTTAGACCAAATTCAGGTGAAGAAGTTATTTTTGCAGCTCATGGTCACAACACAAAGCTCAGTGTTACCTGACAAGCACATTTATAAAGTCATCCTCTTCAGTCACACATCATTACTCCAAGTTCATTAACTCAGAATTCTGGTACATTCACAAACCAAGAGGCAAGATTTAACACAATGCTTCAAATAGGTTTTGACTTGATTTCAAAAGTTCCTGCTCAAAACTCATGGTCCAAATTCTCTTCACACAATCAAGATGAATTTGGGAGTGATGCCGTTGTGCTTAAAATTATATCAGTGAAAAACTAATAAAAGATCCAGCTCAGGCCTGGAGAGTTTAAACTGCAGAACACCTCCAGAAAAATGGATGTGATACACAGACCAGGCTTCAGTGAAGAGGAAAGTGGAAAAATACCTTACTGACAGTTTCCTAACATGAGAGGGCTCATGTTGAAGCTTGTTTAACCCTGACCATCACCAATTGATACGTTAACAACCTTTAACACTAGATTCAATAAAACATGCCATTTATAACCTGAAATGGGTTTTACAGAGTCACTGGTTCGCATCTCATTATTAAACTCATTGCTGACCTCTAGAGACAACTGCCGTGACAATACATATTATAAGCTCTCTACCCATAAAATATTTAAAGGTAGGTGTAAAAAAGAAAAGAAAAGAATGACTCTCAAAGAAGTGTGTAGTGAATAAGAAAATTAAAGGGGCAGAGACAAAAGTTAAATAGGTACTATCCTTTCACTCTACAATGAGCAAAAGACAAAATAATCTGTACATTTTATATCTTTCTTATATAACTGCAGGCTATAAAATAATAAAATAGCTGTGCTTTCCCAGGCCCTCTAAAAGATTATAGATGATATAAAACAGTTTCAAATTAGATACCATTCACTGGAATCATGTCATCTACTGAAATGAAGGATTTCCCGTCTTATCGGAAAGCTGTTATTGTAACTATACATCACTTATGGATCTCAAGGTAAGTGATTTCTCAGTATGTCATGTTGTCACACAGAACAACAGGAAACATTTTCTTCTTTTCTTGGAGAAAGCTTTGCTTATGAAAGTACAGTATTTATGAATGCACACTTACAATTAATAAGGAGGCAAGAACAAGAAAAATAACCTCAGCAAGTAATTTATTACCTCGAACATCATCCTCTGCTCAGCACATGCAGTAAAAGAGAACAACACAGCTCTCAGGCAAGTTCTTTCTGAGCATAGGCAGCTTCCCCTTGCAAGTACTGTGCATGGAGATATCAGACCCAGGCTGGAGTATGGGCTGTGAGAAGCAACCTCTCCTCATCAATATTACAGAGAGCTCTACTGAACACACTTGTGCAGCAAGCAGGGCATCACCTGCCTTTGCTACAGGTGCTCTCTGTCCATCAGTCTCTAAACACACCATGCCACTCTTTTACAGCTGAGAGCAGGCAAATGCCTGTTGCCCAAGGTTGCCAATGCCTTGTGGCAGTGCTGGCAGCAAATTGGGGGCTTCACTGCTGCTTGTGCTGTCACAGAGGCCACCCAAAGCCCGGGGCCAGGAATGTCACTGCCTCTCCTTGGGTGCATCCCAAGCAGGGGTGCTGAGGCAGTCCATAGGAATCAAAAAGGCAAAGAAACAGTTGTCAAACATGCAACCCTGAAAATCCCCCTGAAATTAATGAGAATCTGGCTGCTGGCTATGTCCAGGGCAGCAGCAGGAGTGCCAAGGCCTAGAATTACAACTGAATAGTTGTATCTTTTTCCTGAGTACATCTTGCTGTATGTAAACATAATGTCATTAGAGAAAAAAAACACAGCAAAGCAACCAATGCCTCTCAAAGGCATGCCACCTCTCCAGCTTTAGAGCCTCAAAGTCCTCTTTTCAACAAAAATAGCAGTACCTATTTACATTCTTGTCAAAGCCATGTGACATCTGCATGGGAGAAAACAAGCTGGCTAAGAGTCTATTTCTGGCAAAAATATTGCAAGGAAATTAGATTAACCTGGGTGGAATTCTATCTGGGAATTTGGAGTCTGTCGTGGTGATTAAGTCATCATTTCTGTCAGATTACTCTAATCGGCTGTCAAATACGATTCCACAACCCCATCTGTAACTTGGCATCCTCGTTATTCAGTCGATGTTGCCTTCTGTATACAAAACAAACACCAAACAAGGAGGTGTGTGCTGTCTAGCATTTAGCAGAGTCATTAGCTGTGACTACTACTGTGTGGTTGCACATTGCACAAGGCGATCAGCTCATGGTTTCTTTTGTTTAGTCAGGGGGTTCTTCAAATCAGGTGCAACCTTAACCTGAGGGGTTAGGGGTGAATGGGTAAGAACTGTCTCCAGACATGGACGAGCATGGGATTGGCACACTCCAAGTGACCACTGCATCAACAGCAACCGCTTAAATCACATTTCAGAGCTGTCAATGTATTTGCTGGAAAGGCTTTTGGACACCTGCTTTCCATCAATTTTCTGAAGAGAAATGGGCATTCAGATATTCTGGGTAGGCTAAAGACTTCCTGCGAGCAGCAATTTCTGTGAGTGAAACAAGGTTTGTAGGAGGAGGCAGTTGGCACTTGAAATAGTCTGTATTGGCTGCTTTAAGATGTTACACATGAGTATGATAGTCTTACACATGTTTTTGGTGATTAAAAGCAGGAGATGCCTTTCAGTGAAGATGAAGGAGATGATGGGCTCATTTTGCTGCAGCTGTGTTGAGTCTGTGAAATTTGGATACCCTCAGCATCTCTGAAACTTCGGCCACCTAGACTGAAAAATCTTTTTTTTTGGATGGTCCATTGCAAAAGCACCTTCATACATGATTACTGCATCCGTTAGCACTTTTTTGGTCCATTCCTGCCACTTTGGGTGCACATGTCTTGCTCCTGTAATT